TGGCCCCCCCATCTGCTCCGGCCAGCCCCGTTGCCACACCCCCCTCTTCCTGGCCACGCCCCCCCCAATGAAGCGTGTTCGGGGTGTGTTTTTATTTTGAAATGATGACCTGGTAACCGCTAGCAGCGATCCAGATTCTCTGAGGGTTTCCTCCCCGCCCCTTTTTTTTTTCCTTCAACAAAATTTTTTCCTGGTGTTTTTTTTAGGGAGGGGAGGTTTGGTATTTTTCTTTCAGCCATCTGGCAACCCTATATGCAGGATAGATCTCCCCTTTGTGCTTACTGCTCCCAGGGTTGGTCTCATAGGGTATGTCTACACTACCACCCTAGGGTGGTAATGTAGGCAACCGGAGTTGCAAATGAAGCCCGGGATTTGAATTTCCTGGGCTTCATTTGCATAAAGCCGGGTGCCGCCATTTTTAAATGTCCGCTAGTGCGGACTCCGTGCTGCGTGTAGCCGCGCGGCACGGAGTCCGCACTAGCGGACATTTAAAAATGGCGGCGCCTGGCAAGATGGAAATGAAGTCCGGGAAATTCAAATCCCGGGCTTCATTTGCAACTCCGGTTGCCTACATTACCACCCTAGTTCGAACTAGGGTGGTAGTGTAGACATACCCATATTGTGTGTCTCCAAACAGCTGCCTTTCCCTTTCTATGTTATGGAAAGCAGTCCCTTTCCCAGGGCTTCAGGTTTTCCTGGCACAACCAAACTCTGACCTTGCTTTAAGTTAGGAGAAGAGGAAGCTGCATACCAAACTTGGTGGCACTAGCTCTTACCATTTAGGAGGAGTTCTTGAAAAAATGGACTATCAGACAGACAGACATGCTCTAAAATATATAGAGAGTTAACAAACAGCAAACCTGCCTATGGAGGGTTCTTCCCAGGTCAGAATGAACAGCTTTATAAAAACCTCTTATGCTCTTACCTGTTCCCATTATAGGTATTTTACACCCTTTTGATTTAGTGATGTGATTTTATATCTACAGATATATTTGTCTTGTGGTTGTTACTCTTCCTTCTATTTTAAAAAACAAAACCCATCCTGTGCCTGAAGAAAGGCTGCTCTTGTAGTTGTTGATTTTTTTTAACTAAATACTTAGCGGTTTGTTATAAATGCTGCATTTAAAATCCTTATTCCACTCATATCTTTATTAACAGAGTCTTATTCCTGTTCAACCTACCAAGATCAACAAACAGTAAAACAACAAACTTAGGATTCATGCACCCATAAACTTTGGGATCAGAGTTTTGTGTCTTGGTTCTGTATCTGATAATGAGCTCCAAAGAAACCATAGGGGCAAATGCCCTGGCCCCTGATAACCTTTTGAAATCAATGAGATCTCGTTACTGAGAGAGGAAAAAAAGCTATATAGAACAGAACAGATCTAACTGTTTGTTTTCTTTAACCAGATTTTTTGCAGACTATGAACTACCTAATCTCCAAAAAGACAGAATTTCACGAATTGAAATTTGGGTCATGGATGACATTGGGGGACCTGACTTGTAAGTTAGAAGTGTCCAAAAACTTTGTTTTTCCTCTTTTGGTTCTGATTTTACAATTTTCACTTTATTTTTCTTTGTTAATTATTAGTATTAGATTGCAGTAACTTTCAAAATGTGTTTTATGCATTACAAGCACAAAAGAAACCATGGTATCTTCCTTGGAAGGTGTATCATCTTTTTAAAATATAAAGTTGATGTGACCAGAATTAGACATAATAAAAAATGTTGTAAAGCCCTAATCTGCTGAGTCAGTAGGCCTATGTGGCCTGGTCTACACTAAAGGGGACAGTTGTCTTAAGATACACAACTTCAGCTATGTACATAGCTGGAGCTGAAGTATCTTAAATTGCGTTTTGGCACCATCCACACAGCGGGAGGTCAACAGAAAAACACGATCCTATCAATTTCACTTGCTTTTCATCAGGAGCAAGACTATCAGTACTGATGAGAGTGCCCTCAGTTTGAATTAGCAGGTCTTCACTAGACCCACTAATTTGAATCCCAGATGATTGACTGCGGTAGTGTCTATCTTGTCAGTAGTGTAGATAAGCCATGGTAGGAAGCAGCTATTGAAACTGGCCCTAAGTGAGGGCAAGGCAAGTACAGGTTAGACTAAATAAGAGCTATCTAAATCCCAAATCAAACTCTGGGGCTTGAAAAATATCTTTTCACTGTCCCCAGTGCATTATTTTTGAGGTTTACACCTCTTTGCAGTTCATGGTTCTGGAAATTAGTAGCAGTGAAGAAATGCCATAAGAATTTCATGTCTTTTCTCATGTACTTGTGACCAATCCAACAATAAAAACTACTAGCACTTTTGAGAGCCTGAGCTTGGGATATTTCAAGCCCAATTCTGCAGTCCTGGGAAATTTAAATATTTATCAGCACTTTTAAGATTCTTATTTGGACCAAAATTCTCCATCAGTCATTACTATTTTATGAAATTGAAAGTAAACTTCTATCCGGCCACAGAAGGTAAGATGGATTGGGAAGCTCTCCATGATAGCAGTTTATGTCTGAATGCTAATGTCCAGCAGCAGGAGTTCTAAGTGATTGAGGAAGGACTCAGGCAGAGTCTGTGAAGTTCACAAGTGCTGAGGTCTAGACTCCAGTTGTTGCAAAGTGAAAATAAAACACTACTGCTGATGCAAGTGTATAAGGAATTCTGATTTGGTAGCATTTTACACCAACTTTGTACAGTATAAATGAGGTTACAGTGTGCAAAGTAGTGGAGATTTGTATTAGTCCAACAAGTAGATGCCCTATGGGGGTAGTTTTGTTTTTCTAGGGAACTGCTGTTTGGTTACAAGATATCACAGTCTGGCCAGCTTGCTGAAAATCTCCTATAACTTATTAAATTCCATTAAAAATACCTCCACACCGATTGTAGAACATTAAGGTTTTGCGATTAAAGCCCTAGCTGCCATAGTAATTAACACAATGGACATTAGCAAAATAAATAGTTGACTAACAAATGGTTTTGTTAACACAAATTTGTTTCTGAAGGGATTCCTGTGGGAAAGGCAGTGTACAAATATTAGAAGAGAGACTCAAAACCATGGGTTACGACATCACTTGCATTGACAATTACAAGTAAGTGGAATTTATTTATTGACTATGGAGAATTTGCTAGAATTTTTCAGAAATGCTAACCTACTTCTACCAATGAGTATTCCCATACCAGAGGGCACTAATCTGCAATGTTGTAGCTTTCATAAGAAATTGACTTCTGAATGTGATAATGCCATCTTCCTCAGCCATCTGAGCATACCTCTAAGGATACGGCAATCATACAATTTGTAATTTTTTTTGTTAAATGCAACAGTATCCTCCCTCAGTACCAAGACACAGAAGATGGCATGGTCTCTTTCACATAGAGCTATCAATTTACATAGGAAATTAAAATCTGAGTAACAGTTATACATTAAGTATTTCCTTCTCATGTCTGCAGAATTACTTATGGTAATGGTAGTTAATGTTGGTACCCAAGGCGTCATTCTAAATTAAATACCATTAAAAAGGGAAGGTTTAGAAATAGGGAATCGCTTCATTTTATAACATTGTCTGATTTGCTTCACTTCTTGTTTGTTTTGAGGAATTTTCTTACTGAGGCTATGTCTACACTGCAGAGCTTTTCCAGGATACCAGAGGCTATGCTGCGTCCAAGGAATGTGTCCTCTTTTTTTGAACAGTTTCTGAAAAAGCAGATGCATTCTTTCAGCATCCCTGTATTCCTCCTCATAGTATGAGGAATAAGGGATGTTCCGAAAGAGGAGGATTTTTTGAAATTTGTCCCTGTGTAGAAGGGCCAAATTTTGGAAAAGCTTCTTCCGAAAAAAAAAAGCAGAAAAAGATACACAAATTGTGGTTTGCAATTTGTGTATATTTTCCCGATATAACTCTGCAGTCTAGACTTAGCCTGAGTGGTACTAACTAAAATAATCTCATTACAGATCTGTACTGCTGTTAAAATGCCTGGATTATCCTTATCACTCTGATTGTTCTATTTTTTCGTAAGTAAACATGGTAAATAAAATCAATCCAATTTCTATGTCATTAAACCCAAATGAATAATTCATAGCTAACAATTTATTCAGATTTCACCTATTCTAGTGATTGCAATTTTTCCAGAGCTGCCTTGAAATGTATTTTTTTGAAATTATTCAGGAAACAGTTCCTACTCTATAAATTGTATATAAGCAATTAGTTGCAAGTAACTAATATTAATCATTAAAGCAATGTTGATTATTTTTGATTGAACACACAGACTGCCTGATATATTGTTATCCACTAATTGCATGCACCTAATTCTTAGAATACAGTATCTCTTGCACATACTCATAATTACAAATGCAAAATGTGCTTTGCATGAACATTCTCCAATAAAACTGATATTATAAATCAAATATAACAGCATTAATGCAATTATGTACAATGTAATTTTCAATTCCCAATTTCAAGAAGGTACAGTTTTGATATCCAAAGATTCAGAGAACTTATGTTTCTCCAGTACACTGTTATGAGAAACATGTGGAAACTTAAACATGAGTGGAAACATTCATCTTTGCTGTAACTCTAGCTAAGTGCACCATGGATAAATTTAACCCAAAAGATGGGCAGTAGAATTCTTTGTATAAACTGCAAAAATGTTTCCCAACACAAAACATCCGAAGTTGAAAGGAAAAATACTAATAGCTAGTGCTAAATTTGAGCTCAGGTGACTAAGAAGGCCATAAGTTCCACAAGTTGACTGTGCATTGTGTGATGAAATACTTCCTTTTGTTTGTTTTAAACTTCCTTTTGTTTGTTTTGTATGTGATAACCCTACAGGAGTTAAAACCAGTCTAGGGAGGTTCAGTGGTAGGTAGCCACAGGTAAGGCTGCAGATAATTAAGGGCCAGTTGGGGCTGTATAAATAAGAGCTCCTGGAGTGGAAGAAAACACTCGGGCTATGTCTACACAGGTGGCTTCTTGCGCAAGAACATCTTGGGTTCTGTGCAAGAAGTCTTGCGCAAGTAGTCTTGTGTGAGAAAACATCCACACTGCCATGTGCGAGCTGTGCTTTTGCGCAAGAGTGCCTATGACAGTGTGGATGCTCTCTTGCGCAAGAAAGCTCTGATGGCCATTTTAGCCATAGGGCTTTCTTGCGCAAGAAATCCCTGCCGAGCGTCCACACTGTCCTCTTGTGCAAGAGTTCCTGCACAAGAGGGCTTACACCTGATAAAAAAAGAGAGTAGCGCTTGCGCAAGAAGCCCTCTCTTACCATGCCGTACTGTAAATTTCCTTGCGCAAGAGCGAGCGGGCAGTGTGGACGCTCTGCAGATTCTTGTGCAAGAACGGCTGTACTTGCGCAAGAAGCTACGAGTGTAGACATAGCCTCGCTGTTGCTGCCAGAGAAGCAAGAGGCTTCCTGAGACAGAGCAGTGCAGAGAGAGGCAGACAGAGCAGGGCAGCTCTGGACCAGGGTTTCCCAACCTATGGGTCAGGACCCAAATATGCGTCGCCATTACATTTCAAAAGGGTCACCAGGTGACCCTTAAGGAGCCAGTCACACATATTTTGAATTGCCCTGGGTCACCAAGTCTTCCTGAATTGTCAAAATGGGTCTCCATCTGGAAACGGTTGGGAACTGCTGTCTAGACCAATGTTTCCCAAATGGTGTTCCACGGAACCCTGGGGTTCCGCGAAGTGAAAATAAGGTTTCCGCAAGAAAATTCCATTAAATAACATTTTATGATTAAAAATAATAATATTTAAGCATTTATGAATTTTATTGAAAACAATTTTCATTTGTGTTGGTGTCATGACCTTGTTTAGCATTTGTTTATTATTATCCTTACTTATTTGTGGTCTACTTTTTCAGCTCCATATAGAAGACTGTTATTAGGGGTTCTGCAAAATTCTTTTGAGCTTAAAAGGGTTCAGTGGCCAAATAAAATTGGGAAACACTGCTCTAGATTAACACTACTCCCAGGCTGCAGGGTCTGAAGGTACCAGGGCTGTAGGGAGACAGCCAGGGAAGAAGAAGGCAGCAAGTCCATACCCCTTGCTTATGATGAGTGGCCATTTTAGACTGCAGTTTGTCCCTGAGGCAGGGGCTAGATGATGACTGGCAGTAGGGTCACTGAGGCAAGGTCAATATAGGGGTTGAAGGTTCACTGGGAGGGAGTACCCCAGAGAGTGGGATAGTGATGATCTGAGGAAGTGGGTCTGGCCCACGAAAGCTCATAATCTAATAAAGCATCTTGTTAGTCTTTAAAGTGCTACATTGTCCTGCATTTTGCTCCAGAGAGTGGGGGCACTGCAGCAAGTTAGTACCCAGAGGGGAGGGCACCGTGATTTGGGAGGGGCCCAAATATAAGGTGGCAGAGCCATTAACGCATAAACAGGTAACAGTAGGTGAGACACTGGCCGGAAGGAGGAACTCCAGCATTGAATAGAGCTAACTCCAGAGTAACCATCAGGAAGCGCCATAGCAGTGAGTGTTCACCATGTTACATGCTGCCTATTCATTTCATTTGGTGATTCCTCGTTCTTGTGTTATGAGAAGGCATACATAGCACTTCCTTATTTTCTCCATACTAGTCATGATTTTATAGACCTCTATCATATCCCTCCTTAGTCATCTCTTTTCCAAAATGAAAGGTCCCACTCTAAGGCTATGTCTAGACCACACGGGTCTATTGGAAAAAGGTACACAAAGGCATGCGTTCCGTAATTTGCGTACCTTTTTCGAACAGTTTTTTCTGAAGAGGCTTTTCCGAAATTTGGCCTGTCTACACTGGGAAATTTGGGAAAAGCCTCTTTCAGAAGAACCCTTCTTTGTCATGGGAGGAGGAAGACAGGGCTTCCGAAAGAGCGCATCTGTTCTCTGGATGCAGCGCAGTGTTCCCTGGATGCGGCGCAGTTTTCCAGAGTATCCAGGAAACCTCCATAGTGTAGACATAACCTAAATAATATCTTCTCATATAGAAGCTAGCCGATATGCCTAATATTTTGTGGCTGTTTTATGTACCTTTTCCAATATATCTTTTCTGAGGTGGGGCTATCATATCTGCATAAGAATGCGTCAATATGTGGTTTTACCATACACTTATATAGAAGCAATGATATTTTCTCTTATTATCTATCATTTTCTTAATTATTCCCAACGTTCTATTTGCTTTTTTGATGCTGCTGAACATCGAGTGGATGTTTTCAGAGAAAACATCCACTAATCAAAACATCCATTAATTTAGACCCCATGATTTTATATGTATAGTTGGGGTTATTTTTTCAAATAGTCTTTAGTTTGCCTTTATCAATATTAAATTTTATCTTCCCTTTCCCAGTATTATGAGATTCTTTAATAACGCTTCATAGTCTGCTTTAGATTTAACTAGCTTGAGTAGTTTTAGGTCAGCTGCAAATTTTGCCATCTCCCTATTTACCACCCCCCCCTCTCCCCGATCATTTGTGAATATGCTGAACAGCAGTGGTCCTAGAACTAGCCTCTGGAGGACCCCACTATTTACCTCTCTCCATACTGAAAACTGACCTTTTATTCCTATCCTTTGATTTCTATCTTTTAACCAATTATCAGTCCATGAGAGGACCTTCCATCTTACCCCATGACCACTTTGTTTAAGAGCCTTCGGTGAAGACCTTGTCAAAGGCTTTTTGAAAATCTAAGTACACTGCATGCCCCTTGTCCACATGTTTGGTGACCCCCACAATGAATTCTAATAGTTTGGTGATACATAATTTCCCTTTACAAAAAATCATGTTGACTCTTCCCCAACATATCATGTTCATCTATGCACCTGAGAACTCTGTTCCTTGTTATAGTTTCACCCCATTTGCTGGGTACTGCAGTTAGGTTTACTGGCCTATAATTTCCAGGATTGCCTCTGGAGCCTTATTAAAAGTTAGTGTCACATTAGTTATCCTCCAGGCATTTCTCTCTTCTCCCAGGGTTTAGACCATATTCTTCAAAATCTTGTGTTGTGGGCACTTTCCTTTACTGATGAGATCTAGATAGAAACCCTTTAGGAAACAATGTCCTTTTTTTTGCTTAAGGGCTGTGCATATTATCTCTTTAGTACTATCACTCATTGTAAGCATGGGACTAGCTCTCTGTTCCAGTCTAGCTATTCCATACTTATATGATCACCATCACTATAGTAGCTGAGCATGTCTGTACAGGCAGTCCCCGGGTTACGTACAAGATAGGGACTGTAGGTTTGTTCTTAAGTTGAATTTGTATGTAAGTCGGAACTGGTACATATTGTAGGGGAAACTCTAGCCAAACATTTCTCCAGAGCTCAGTTTTATTCTCCCACACCTCACTTCCCTCAGGCTTTATTCTCAAGCTGAGGTGTCTGCTGAGAAAAGCCGCTCCACGTCTCCCTGGTCGGCTGGGAGGGGTGCTAGCTTTGCGTCTCCCTGGTCTGCTGGGGGGCGCGCTAGCTTCGCGTCTCCCTGGTCTGCTGGGGGGAAGCAGCTAGTGCGGGGTTGCCTCACCCAGTTTGTAAGAGCACCATCCTTGGGCTGGCTCTGATTCTGCATGTTATTGAATGCCTCAACTCTCATTAACCTGCCTTGTAAGAATGGGTCTTACTTCCACTCCCTGATTCATCCCTCAAATGGTTTTTACACCTTCTTTTATTCAGCTGTGTGTGATCATCCTTAAATTCTGACCCATGCTCAACTGCTGTTCACAGGGAACCCTTCTCCACTTTGGCCTTCAAGGTTCTTGTTTGAATCTTTGCTATTAAAACCAAGATCTGTCCCCGTGGCAGCTCCACCTCAGCCTGTGCCCTACACTTCAAGGCTGTGTCTACATTGGCAAGATTTTGCACAAAAGCAGCCGCTTTTGCGCAAAAACTTGAAGCCTGTCTACACTGGCCACGAGTTCTTGCTCAAGAACACTGACGTGCTACTGTAAGAAATGAGTGCTTCTTGCGAAAGAACTATGATGTTCCCTCTTAGGAATAAGCCCTCTTGTGCAAGTGTTCTTGCGCAAGAGGCCAGTGTAGTCAGGCAACATGAATTTCTTGTGCAAGAAAGCCCGATGGCTAAAATGGCCATCGGAGCTTTCTTGCGCAAGAGAGTGTCTACGCTGGCATGGATGCTTTTGCACAAAAGCACATCTCTTGCGCAAAAGCACATGTCCGTGTAGATGCTCTCTTGCGCAAATACTTTAATGCAAAAACTCTTGCGTTAAAAGTATTTGCGCAAAATCTTGCCAATGTAGATGTAGCCTAAGGTCTACCACAATGGCTTTCCTGTGCTTTGTCGCATACACCCCATGGCTCATCCCGGGTGATAACTAAGAATTCACACTAGGAACAAGGGCATCCTGACACGCTGGGTGGGATGGCTGCCCAGTCACTGCTCTACCTGAGATGTGAGTAAGCTAAAATGAGAAATCAAAGCAAAAAAAGACACTCCCATATAGCAAGTCTCAGAGGAGTGGCTGTGTTAGCCTAAATCTGCATTGAAACAATCGGGAGTCTTGTGGCACTTTAAAGACTAACAGATTCATTTTGGCATAAGTGGGGATTTGCCCATGAAAGCTGATGCCCAAATAAGTCTGTAAGTATTTAAGGCACCTCCAGACTTATAAATCTGCAACAATTAACCTCAGTGATTTTAGCTTCTTTTCCCCCTTACAGAAGATTCTTCAGGCCGATTGTAACTGATTTGTTTGAATGCCTGCACTGTTTGAATTTTTTCTGAGTACTTTCCCAGATTTTGTTTACTTCATGAATGGATAATAATTAAATATGATGATGATTTAATTCACTGGCAAACAGCTTTTACAGAGATTTTTTCACTATTAAAGATACATTCAAGTTAAGAGTACAACTAGAATTTTTACACTTTAAGAATAAATATTGAAATTAGCCATTCAGATATTTACTAAAACAACAACAACAAATGGTCTGGTAGCACTTTATAGACTAACAAAACATGTAGATGGTATTATGAGCTTTCGTGGGCACAGCCCACTTCTTCAGATGACCGCAATTATGAGTTTGGGATATGAAAACTCGAAATAAATAGGAGAGGGGAAGGGGAGGAGGGAGAGAAAGAAATAGGGCGGGGGAAGAGACAGCGCATCATTAAGGATCTGGAGAATGGGTACTTAAACCTAAGCAGATAAAAATCAAAGTCAATAGATAGGTTCCTAAGACAGGAAGGATACTACTCAGGGAGCACTCTACTGCATCCTTTTTTACAGTGGCTCAGTGCCACAAAGCAACTGAAAAACTGGCAACAACCTCAGCAGGTGGGTCAGGTAAAGTCACATAGGTAGCTTAATTCTGCACTTCCAACTGCTGCCACAGAGGCATTCTGAGGTAAGTGGCCATGTCAGAGCAGGAGTGGCATTGACCAGAGGTTGCTGTGTGGCACCACTCTAACTTACACGGGGAGCGGAGCATGCTAAAGCTCAAAATCCTGGAAGTCTAAAGGCGAAGAAATGCCCTTTTACCCTCCACACTTCAGCTGTGGCTCTTGTGAGGACTCTGGCCTATAATAATCATCTATGACAGCTTGGCATTTAAATTGACCCCGGAGATAAACGGAACACCAGTAGGTGGCATACGAACCTGAGCAGAACACATTCCAAATGCAGTCTGGGACAAAGAACATGTAGTTAATGCGGAGTTCTGTGCACCAAATTCCTTTTATAAAACTATGAAAGCTTAGCAGCATTGGCAGTGATTTCAAGAGCTATTTTAAAAAGATTTCTGGAACTGAATTTTCAGCTTAACTTTTTGACTTCAGACTAAAGGAGCTGTACTCAAACAAAACTCTGTTTGTTTTTTTTCTTTAGGTCTGCACCTTCCACACAAAGAAGACTTGTATCTTCAGAAAGAGGCAACAGCTGGAGCAGGCTTATTTATACTATTTTCGTAGCATTTGTTTTTGAGATCTGCTTTAACCCACTAAATTAATGTATGTAATTCAGTCCTTCAGTTTGCCTTCTCATTGTCCATCAATTGGCATCACCCTGTTTCTGAATATAATTCCTCCCTTAATTAATGTGATTGCAAGGCTGCTTATTATAATAACCTATGTAACATTGTCTTTGACTTCTCTGTTCCTGGAAGCCTCAGACATGCCCCCCCGCTGGCTTCCCCCGAGGTTTTCAAAGCCGCGGAGGGGCTCCGCCGGGCCCCGGCGGGGGGGCATCCCAGGCGCGCCTGGGATGCCCCCCCGCCGGGGCCCGGCGGAGCCCCTCCGCGGCTTTGAAAACCTCGGGGGAAGCCAGCGGGGGGGCATGTCTGAGGCTTCCAGGAACAGAGAAGTCAAAGACAATGTTACATAGGTTATTATAATAAGCAGCCTTGCAATCACATTAATTAAGGGAGGAATTATATTCAGAAACAGGGTGATGCCAATTGATGGACAATGAGAAGGCAAACTGAAGGACTGAATTACATACATTAATTTAGTGGGTTAAAGCAGATCTCAAAAACAAATGCTACCTTGTGTTCAAAAGACTTTTTTCTGCCTTATGACTTGGGCCTCATTCTCCCTTGCTGTGTACTTTGTGTTTTTATCTACACTTCTGCAAAGTGAGCACAAAGTGAATGTAAAATGCTTTTATCCCTTGTGTGAATGGGTGTTTTTGGTAGCATTTTAAAGTCAATTTGTAAATAACAAAACAAGGAGTAAGGCAATGGAGAATTGAACCCACTGTTTTCACATACAATATATCCATCATTATCTGGAGCAAAATGCAGGACAACGTAGCACTTTAAAGACTAACAAGATGGTTTATTAGATGATGAGCTTTCGTGGGCCAGACCCACTTCCTCAGATCAAATAGTGGAAGAAAATAGTCACAACCATATATACCAAAGGAAACAATTTTAAAAAATGAACAAATATGAAAAGGACAAATCACATTGCAGAACAGGAGGGAGATGCAAGGGGGGGGAGGAAGGAAGGTAAGTGTCTGTGAATTGACGATATTAGAGGTGGGGAGAGTGGGATGTTTGTGAGTTAATGGTATTAGAGGTGATAATGGGGAAGCTATCTTGGTAATCCCCCGTGCATCCCCCTCCTGTTCTGAAATGTGATTTGTCCTTTTCATATGTGTTCATTTTTTTAAATTGTATCCTTTGGTATATATGGTTGTGACTATTTTCTTCCACTATTTGATCTGAGGAAGTGGGTCTGGCCCACGAAAGCTCATCATCTAATAAACCATCTTGTTAGTCTTTAAAGTGCTACATTGTCCTGCATTTTGCTTCAGCTACCCCAGACTAACACCGCTACATTTCTATCACCATCATTATCTGGGACTTTCTCCTCTCGTTGCTTCCTGCTGTTTGGATTACCAACAACCAAAGGCCTCTCACATTAAGTAGAATTTATCTTGAAACCTTTGAGTCAGGAATCAGGTATTTACAATTAGGGAAATTCACTGGATTCTTTGAAATCTATTAAGGATCAGGGGTAGAACTGGTCAGCAACTTTTTGAGACCCTTTTCTAATCAGAAAATATTGATTAATTGAAACTTTTGGGGGAAAGGGTCAGTTCTGACACATTTCTCTATATTAAAATATTTTGGAAATAAAATATTTTGCAAATTCACTATTAATTTCTATGTATGCTTGTTAGCAGTGAAACTGATTGTGAGCTATTGGAATGTTCATATTCTCATTTAGCTTAGCAAGAAGTTTCCTTCCTCCCACTCTGATATTATTTAACTCTTCTAGTCTGCCAATATGATGGGCATGGAAGATCTAAAAGCTCAGTTATATAGTAATACATTTTTCTGGTTTTTATTCTTCAAATCAGTTCCATCTCAGGGGCTTTGATGTTTACATACTTCAAATATTTACAGCCTTACTATCCTGCATTTTTCAAATACCCTTCTTGGGCTCATACATTAAGGTTTTATGCACATAACTCAGGCACTTGCAAAAGGCATGTATACATTTGCAAATCTGGGCTGCCATCTGCACCTTAGCTAGCCCTTTGAAATGTCCCTTCTGTACCTGCTCATTTTTGCTTTTCTATACTCTTCCCAAACAGTAGCCAGTAGAGTCATCTAACATCTAAGATGACCAAATCAAGTACATAAAGGTCTATCACTTACTAGCACACCTGCATGATGCACCATATTACATTGGGAACTGTGAGGAACAAACATTGTTATCTCTTCTTCCTCTAATGACAATCACATATCCAAACTACCCTTTAGTCAGAAATTGTCATGTCCCACTGCTTTGTGTGTTCTACCATGGAACTGATCCAGAGACTAGCTAAACACCAGCAATATCAGGCCCAGGACTCTTAGGGTACTTCTGCACAGCCGCGTTATTCCAGAATAACTGACGTTATTCCAAAATAACATAGTGCATGCAGGACCAGACTGAGCCATTCTGGTGCCCTGGGCAGACAGGATAATTGCACCCTGGGTTGGGGGAAGGCACTTGCGTGGCCCCACCCCTGCCCGGCGTGTGCGGGAGGGCATGCGTGGAGCTGGCGGCGGCAGGAAGCACGTGCCCGGCCCAGCCCAGCCCAGCCCAGCCCGGCTACCACTGCTGGCGCACAGCCCAGGGCAGGCCGAGCCTGGCCATGCAGGGTCCCGCGGCTGTGGGGGGAAGGGCGCTGCTGGCCAGCGCTGCAGGGGGCCGCTGTAGGGTGTCCGCTGGGAGCTGCTGCAGCCAGCGATCTGGGAGCCAGGCATGCCCCATAAGTTGGCACCCCAGGCAGCTGCCCGGCTAGCCCATGCCTTAATCCGGCCCTGAGTGCGTGTCTTCACTACAAGACTTTATTTTGAAATAAAGTCGAGCTTGAGGATTTCTTATTCCAACTCCTGGTAACCCTCATTTCACAAGGAGAAAGGGAAGTCAAAGGAAGAGTGTTCTTCTTTTGGCTTCCTGCTGTGTAGACAGTGCCAAAAGGATAGGATAACGAGCCTTTGATAGGATAACGAGCCTTGTGGATAAGGGAGAAGCAGTGGATGTCATATACCTAGACTTTAGTAAGGCATTTGATACGGTCTCGCATGATATTCTTATTGATAAACTAGGCAAATATAACTTAGATAGGGCCACGATAAGGTGGGTGCATAATTGGCTGGATAACCGTAGTCAGAGAGTGGTTGTTAACGGTTCTAAATCCTGCTGGAAAGGGATAACAAGTGAAGTTCCTCAAGGGTCTGTTTTGGGACCCATACTGTTCAATATCTTCATCAATGATGTAGATATTGGGATAGAGAGTACGCTTATTAAGTTTGCAGATGATACCAAACTGGGTGGGGTTGCAACTTCTTTGGAGGAGAGGGACATAATTCAAAATGACCTTAGCAAGTTAGAGAAATGGTCAGAGGTAAACAGGATGAGGTTTAATAAAGAGAAATGCAAAGTGCTCCACTTAGGAAGGAACAATCAGTTCCATACATACAAGATGGGAAGCGACTGTCTAGGAAGGAGCATGGCGGAAAGGGATCTAGGGGTCATAGTGGACCACAAGTTGAATATGAGTCAACAGTGTGATGCTGTTGCAAAAAAAGCAAATATGATTCTAGGTTGTATCAACAGGTGTGTTGTAAGCAAAACTCGTGAAGTCATTCTGCCGCTCTACTCTGCACTAGTTAGGCCTCAGCTGGAGTACTGTGTCCAGTTCTGGACGCCACATTTCAAGAAAGATGTGGAGAAATTGGAAAGGGTACAGAGAAGAGCAACAAGAATGATTAAAGGTCTAGAGAACATGACCTATGAAGCCAGGCTTCATGAACTGGGCTTGTTTAGTTTGGAAAAAAGAAGATTAAGGGGGGACATGATAGCGGTTTTCAAATATCTAAAAGGGTGTCACAAGGAGGAAGGAGAAAATTTGTTCCTCTTGGTTTCTGAGGACAGGACAAGGAGTAATGGGCTTAAAGTGCAGCAGGGGAGGTTTAGATTGGACATTAGGAAAAAATTCCTAACTGTCAGGGTGGTCAAATATTGGAATAAATTGCCAAGGGAGGTGGTGGAATCTCCCTCTCTGGAGATATTTAAGAACAGGTTAGATAGACATCTGTCAGGGATGGTGTAGACAGAGCTTGATCCTGCCTTGAGGGCGGGGGGCTGGACTCGATGACCTCTCGAGGTCCCTTCCAGTCCTATTATTCTATGATTCTATGATTAAATTAACTGCTTGCTTACACTGATTATTCAGTTTGTGTAGGGGAGTTGAGGTGTTGGCCTAAATTGCCCTGTAGGCAGGATCTTATTGTGTTAATGGTTTCATGAAAGGACTTCGTCCTTAGACAACCTACATTACTTGTGCCAAGCATTTTAACTAGCCATCTTTTGGTTTTAAGAATCTGAATAGGCAGCAGGTTTAAAACAAACAAAAGGAAGTACTTCTTCACACAATGCACAGACAGCCTGTGGAACTCATGCCAAAGAATACTGTGAAAGCCAAAATGGTCACAGGGTTCAAAAGAGAATTAGATAAGTTCATGGAGGATAGGTCCAACAGTGTTATTAGCCAAGATGGTCAGGATGCACCCGTATGCTCTGAGTGTTCCAAGCCTCTGATTGCCAGAAGCTGGGAGTGGAAGACAGATCACTTAATAATTGTGTGTTCTATTCATTCCATCTGAAGCACCTGGCACTGGCCAATGTCAGAAGACAGAGTACTCAACTAAATAGATCATTAGTCTGACCCAGGAATGCTGCGCTTATGTTCACGTGAATACACTTGTACATTTTACCTAAGAGTGAAGCCATTACTGTCAGCCCCACATGACACCAGGTGCAATGTAGGAAGTGCGGAGAAGTTCCATATTGAAAATATGTGTTTAAGTGTAAAAAAAATATAAATTTAGTTCAACTAATCTAAGGACATGTAAATATTGAAAACTTACTACATAGAACCAAGACTCCAATATACTGAGAATCATGTTTCATCAGGTTACTCTTTCCAATAAGTTTCCCCCGTGTTTCTTTAAATAAGTAGTAGGGATAGATGTGATTTAGTACAAGACTTCTCTAAAAAGCTCCCCAGAAGCTGGATTCTGAGAAATGTGGCATACCCAGCATCCCAATAACATGCGTGCTGGGCAAAATCTCCGGGAGTGCTGTGGATTCAGCATTTTTTAGGATTAGAATCCAGTCGCATAAATCCCACAAAATCACCACACAAAAGCAAATTCACATACAGTCAAAAAACAAACTCAAAAGGCAGCCATGCCAGCAAAGCAGCAATTCAAGTAAAAGAGATTTGGGTACTCCTGTTTCTCCATGGAATCACTGATTATTATTTTCTGTAATTAGAAATTGAACTATCACTCAAGTCACCAGCAATTATGTGGTATCCTGGATTCTAATCCTGAACAGAAGGCAGTGTGTGTCAATGCTGTTTTTCTGCACTTTTGCCAACAGAATATTCCACCCTGTATGAGGGGGTTTTGCGCAGTCTCCTGCCAGCAAAGCAGTGTTCACTCTTTCACTTGCAGTGGTAAAACTTTGTCATTCATGGGAGTGGGGGGAGGTTAAGCATGTGTCAATGACAAAGGTTTTGTCAATCAAGTGCAAGTATAGACATTGCTGAATAGAGAAAGGCATCCACAGTATTTATTAAAAAATACCAACCCCTATGTTCTTCCCACAATGCTGCTCTTTTTTTTTTTTTTTTTTTTGTTTCCACAGCCATTGCAGAATGGAATTCTTCTGAAGATCTGCCCTTAAAAATATCTGTCTTTCTCCATCACCAAGACCAATCTGCCAGATACAAGATTTTTTTTTTGGAGCAGATGAGGGGGAAATCTCGCTCCCCTGGGGTACAGAGCCCCCAGAAGGGTCCGAGGCCGGAGGTCAAATCACTGAGGCAGGAGAGAAATCTAGAAGGAAAAACTTTATGATGCATGCATGCAGGCTGTCACTTCCAAGAGTGAAAGCAGCAGCAATGAGAGACAGATTCAGGTAGCCTATATACAGAATGCTTAGACAGTTCAGTTGTTGATTGTTCTTCTTTAACATATCAAAGTTTCAGCAGAAGTACTCTGAGACTTCTGTTCACCCCAGGAGTGCTAGAAGTAAGTTTTTACAGTACACAAAGCCACATGAGAACTTGAGTGGAGGAGTCTACAAGGCAAACTGTGACAAAGATAAGGGTTTACATGACAAATTGTGACAGACTAGGAGTATCCATGAACTTGAGATAGGAGGCATTTGTAAGGGTCTTTGATTAGAGTTAATTTGATTTCACTCTGATACAGGGAGAGAGGTCTGGAAAACTTTTAATTTTACAGCAGTTTTCTTTTAGAGAGTTTTGATTTCTGCACAGTTCCCCCTTTGACACAATTGGAGTTATTTGATTTTTTTTCTCCCACACAGACAACAAGCTCTAACTTTATAGCTATGGTAACAGTAGATGCCTAAGGGTAGAGAAATCAGATTGCCAAGTCATTGTGCTTTGAGTCCTACCTGCAGAAGCTTATCAATGAAAATCCTTATCACACATTTAGATACCTCAGTCCCAAAGTCTGCTCTTGTGTTTGCATTACAGGAGAAAGCATTTTCATATACAAATCAAGCCATTTGAAATTTCAATGACCACTTCACAGGAAAAACTACCTATATGCTCTGTAATGCCTGAATAAACAGTGGTCTGAACTCCAAAACTTGGATCCCTCAAAACATAGCACCAATAATTAAGGATAATTCTGTTTCATTTGTTTTTTTTGTATGGCCTCCTCCCACTGTATTCTGAAACATACATAAAATATGGGCCAAATTCTCTATTGCTATAAATTAGAGTTGCCAACTTTTTAATTGCACAAAACTGAACATCTTGCCCTATCTGTTCCCAGAGGTCTTGCCTCTGCTCACTCTATCCCCCACCCCTGTCTCTGGCTCTCCCTCGCCCTCACTCACTCATTTTGACCAGGCTGGGGCAGAAGGCTGGGGTGTAGAGCAGAGCCAGAAATAAGAAGTTCAGGGTGCAGAGAGGGCTCTGGATTGGAGCAGGGGGTTACCGAGCGTGTGGGGTAGGGAAGGCTCCAGGAGGGTGTTTAGGTGTGGAAGGAGGCTCAGGTCTGGGGCAGAGATGTGGGGTGTATGCTCTAGGAGGGGGTGACCTCATGGGGCTCCCCAAAAGTAACATGTCCTTCGGCTCCTAGGCAGAGGCGCAGCCAGGTGGCTCTTCATGGTGCACACTGCCTCTGCCTGCAGCTCCCATTGGTTACAGTTCCTGGCTAATCAGAGCCAGTGCTCAGGGCAGGAGCAGTATGTGTTGCTTCCATGGTGGTCCCTCTGCCTAGGAGCCAGAGAAACATGTCACCACTTCTGGGAGCTGCAGTGAGGCTGGTAGGAAGCCTGCCAACCAACACTTCTGACCAGAGTCACCAGGGTTGCTTTTTGACTGAACTTTCTAGTAAAAAACCAGACACCTGGCAATCTTATTGTAAATTGGCACCGCTCTCCTGAAACCAAGTGACATTTGTGAGGAACTGGCCCATAAATTGGATCCAGTGGGGGGGCAACAAAAATGATTAGGGGGCTGGAGCACATGATTTACGAGGAAAGGCTGAGGGATTTGGGTTTATTTAGTCTACAGAAGAGTGAAGGGGGATTTGATAGAAGCTTTTAATTACCTGAAAGGGAGGTTCCAAAGAGGAATGAGAGAGGCTGTTCTCAATAGTGGCAGATGACAGAATGAGGAGCAATGATCTCAAGTTACCATGGGGAGGTTGGATATTAGGAAAAACTAGTTTACTAGGAGGATGGTGAAGCACTGCATCGGGTTATCTAGGGAGGTGGTGAAAACTCCATCCCTAGAGGTTTTTAATTCCCAGCTTGATAAAGACCTGGCTGGGATGATTTAGTTAGTTTTGGTCCTTCAGAGGGGTGGGCAGAGGGTTGGACTCGATGATCTCCTAAGCTCTCTTCCAACCCAATGATTCTATGATTCTATAACATCTGAGGGTCATAGTGAACCACAAGCTAAAAAAGAGTCAACAGTGTGACACTGTTGCAAAAAAAGCAAACATCATTCCAGATTGTATTAACAGGAGTGTTGTAAGCAGTACATGAGAAGTAATTCTTCTGCTCTACTCAGCACTGATTAGGTCTCCACTGAAGTATTGTGTCCAGTCCCAGGGCATCACATTTTAGGAAAGATATAGACAAAGAGGAGAAAGCCCAGAGAAGAGCAATGAAAAGGATTAAAGGTCTAGAAAACATGACCTAAGAGGAAAGATAGAAAAAACTGGGTTTGTTTAGTCTGGAAAAGAGACATCTCAGAGAACATATGATAACATTTTCCAAATACATAATAGGATATCAGAAGTAGGAGGGAAAAAATCATTCTCCTTAACTTCTGAGGAAAGGCCAAGAATCACTTTAATTGCAGCAAGGGAAGCTTAGGTTAGACATTAGGAAAAGCTTCCTGTCAGGGTCATTAAGCACTGGAATAAATCTCCATTATTGGCAGAGGCATTGTGTAGGAGGTGCTTGAGGGGGTATGTGCCTCCAAGCATCGTGGGCAAGAGAGCAGCAAGAATATTCTGGGGAAACTAAGGGTATGTCTACACTACCCCGCTAGTTCAAACTAGCGGGGTAATGTAGGCATACCGCACTTGCAAATGAAGCCCGGGATTTGAATTTCCCGGGCTTCATTTGCATAAGCGGGGCTCTGCCATTTTTAAATCCCCGCTTGTTCGAACCCTGTGCCGCGCGGCTACACGCGGCACGAACTAGGTAGTTCGAACTAGGTTTCCTAGTTCGAACTACCATTACTCCTCTTGGAATGAGGAGTAACGGTAGTTCGAACTAGGAAGCCTAGTTCAAACTACCTAGTTCGTGCCGCATGTAGCCGCGCGGCACAGGGTTCGAACAAGCGGGGATTTAAAAATGGCGGAGCCCCGCTTATGCAAATGAAGCCCGGGAAATTCAAATCCCGGGCTTCATTTGCAAGTGTGGTATACCTACATTACCCCGCTAGTTCGAACTAGGAGGGTAGTGTAGACATACCCTAACAGGGAGGCCTGGCACCCGCAGCAGGGGTCCAGTCTGCTTGCACTCACCAGCAGTGGTGGGGCACCCACACTTACTGGCCATGTTGCTTGGGGGAGGGAGCACCCCGCATTCACCATCAGTAATGAAGTGATGCAGCTAGAGGAGCAGAGCGAGCTGGGGCTGCATTGCTTCATTTACCTCTCCGCTGCCAGTGAGTGCGAGGGCCCACCCCCCTGCTGCTGGCACTGCCCCTCTCCCAACCTTGTTAGTCCCCCAGGCCACGTCGCACAAAGGTGGGGAGAGGGTGGAGCAAAGGCGGGGAAGGACAGGACAAGTGGGGAAGGGAGGTTTTCCTGGGCTGAGTGGGGAAGGAGGGTCACCTCTGTCAGGAGAAGTATTTCAAAGTATTATTGCAGACATGAAGTACCATGAGAGCACTGCACAGCAAAATGTGAACAATATCTTCCCATAAAAAACAACATTGAACAACCTACCAACAATATAAGCAGTACGAAGGCTCTAGATCAGCAACTGATGATGAAATTCTGTTCCTGAGGGACAAACACAAAGCCTGCTGAAAATAAAAGACACTTCCCATCTAACTTTAGTTTCTCCGCTTCTGACCTCGGATTTTCTGTTGAAGTAAAGATGTATGAGAAGATCCCAGTCCTGTATTCCACTGTTCTGCTTCTGCTGAGTCCTAGGTGGAAGAGATGAAACAAAGCAGACAAGTTAACAGGCTGCCCACTGCTTGTAGCTGATGTTTAAGTATGTCATTATGTTCAGAAGAGCTAAGATGACAGGGAAGGTACTTGTAAGCCGTCTTTGCATTTTCTTGATCCTTAGAGCTAGGTTCAGTGGTTTTGAAAATTCAGTCCACAGGCCATTTGTAACCTAATTAGCACAGAGCTGCGGCCCATGTGACATTTCAGGGCCATTGAGGTAGTATTGGATGCGGCCCACACAAGACATATGTGGTAAATAGGCTGAGAACCAGTTTGATCCCCAGCCTGATTTAGAGCAGTGTCAGATCTATTCCAAACTAGATCCATCTGCAGCATCTCCCCAACCAAAGATTGCCAGCGTATATCACTGCATCACTACACACAATTCCCCGCCTCTTGGGCCACAACCCCTATGCCAGGGAGAATCACCACAGAACCTCCGCTGCCGGCTTTTAGGCTTCTTTGCATTGCTAGAGCCACAAAGCAACCTGATTAGTGAACAGGAACTTCCCCTTGTTAAGGATACATCTAGACTGCAGAGCTTTTCTGGGATACTGGAAACATCCCATAAAAGCTCTGCTGCATCCAAGAAACACGTCTGCTTTTTCAAAAAAAAGGTTGGAAAAGTGGATGTGTTTTGTCGGCATCCCTGTAAACCTTCTTTTATGAGGAAGAAGGGATGTTCCGAAAGAGGGTTTTTTTTCCCCAAAATTTGTCCCCGTGTAGACGGGCCAACTTTTGGAAAATACTCTTTTGTAAGTAAATCAGAAAAAGATACGCAATTTGTATCGCACAAATTGCATTTCTTTTTCCACTTTATCTTTTTGTCTAGACATAGTCTAGGAAGCCTGCTACACTACAGTATGTTGTTCTTCCCCTTTGAGAAAATTCTCTTATTTTCTTCAGAAATATTTACGTCTGGAGAAGCTGGAATCGTTTTGGAACGTTTTGGAGGCGGTTGGTGGGAGAACTTCAGAAAACCTGAGATAAAAGCCGCACCAGAGTACTTTGAGACAGGTCTTTTTGTGCATTCGTGATGTGTCTCCCAAAAAGCTCTGGCTCATTCAAAGACTCACTAGCTGTTCCGTAGAGACGTTAGTCAAAGCAGCGAGATCATTATGCTCCAAAAGTCCAAAAGAATGGAAATGCTCAGGGCTGCTGTCTCCCTGCAGGTGGTTAGCAGGGATGTGTCCATGGATGCCAGTCTATATTTTTTTGGTTTTATAAATGAAATGCTAACAATGGAAGGGATGGAAAAACAGTTTTGATCTTTTGTACAGTTTTTATTATACATACAATTAGATATCACTATCTAGCTGTACAGAGTGTTCTACCAAACATTAATGCTGGATATATTAAAATATACAAATACATTTTAACTCAAATGCTTTAAAGCCTCAGTGGAAACAAGGCAAATTGTATTCTACAACACGTTGGCTGGTTGTGGTCTAACCTAGGCTCCCTAGAGATGTACACATGTGCAACAGGATGGATTTGGCCTATTGTCTCTAAAGACATGCCCAGATTCTGGTCCTCCTCCTGCTCCCCAAGTTTAGCTTACATTGCTGACAACTTTGGACATCTATATATGCTTAACTCTTTATTTGCAGAGACTGAATATGAACTTCCCTGTAAGGCAAGTTAGATGCATGGGAAAACTTGCAAATTGGCTTTCCCAAGCCCAAAAAGGAAAATTGGAGCCATTTTCTCTTGCTTCAGACTTCATGGGAAAAAAAGAGATACATTTCTCAGCAACCTACTGACAAATATAACAGTTAATATCAGAGAGGATTCTAGTCCAGAGGCAGGAGTCCGGATGATACACATTGTGGAAGAGTACTTCCAAAAGGAACTGCTTTATTCAAGATGTATTGTTTCATCAACACTCACTGAGCCATTTCCAGATAAATCAAGAAACCTCTCCAGTGATGGGATCACTGACTTTTCTAGGCAGGAACTCAACAGAGTGTGGATCTTTCTGAAAAGGAAAACACAACTCTTAGTTAAGAAAGACCTATAACTTTTCATCTTATTTTCATCCTTGCATTTCTGTGAGTCAGGTTTCCATTTAAATGGTGGCAATAAATTGTTGCTTGAAAATAACTCAGGATTCTGTTTCCCTATCACAACCTTATAGAAATAATCATTCATCAGCAAGACAGATTAATCCATCCCATTAAATTGGGTGTATTTTAAAATTCTACAATGTCCTTTCTTACTAAAGTTCACTTCTCACCATTTCACAGTTGGTAATTTCTGGTGTGTTTATAGCTACAAGATTCTATCTGTTCATAAGAAGTCTTGAGGAGCAGCAAAAAACAAAACAAAACAAAACAAAACGTTTCTTCATCTAGAGAGGATCACCAACTCTGAAACTAGGGGAACCCTATACAGGCCAAACTCACTCTAAAATAATTTAGCAAAAGGTCAGTGGCTGTGAAAGTCAGGGTGCAGACACCCCAGGGAGAAACTGATGATTTGCAGAGTCAAGTATGGTCATTTATGAAAGCTTGTAATGTTCTGAACCTGATGGTGATTATGAGATGTATAACTACAATCTGTACATATTTATTTATTTGTATAAATATAAAACTATGCTCAGAATTCATGCTGCAACATTCAGCTCCAGCTCACAACAGGAAGGTGGTTAGCCAGGTAGGGAAGGACAGCCCACCACTCTGAAAGGAGACTAGCTGTGAGTACTTTGCATTCAAGAACACAAACAACTTGAAAACCCATGAAGAAAACCACTGTCATGGAAAACTAAGGCCTTGTAAATACTGCCACGTTTTTGTTGACAAAAGTTATGTCAACATCTAAAAGTTGACAAAACAAAAATTGCTAAAGGGTGTTCATGCTTGCTCCCTCTAATTTGACCAATCATGTCCACTTTGGGAGCAACATCATCAACAGTGTGAATAATGAACTATGGGTAAGTATCCCACACTGCAGTGTTGTGGGAAGGTAGAACAGATTTTTCAACATCTTGGGATTCCCTCTAAGTTTTTCTCATTACCTCCTCAGTTCCAAGGTGCAGCATCATGAGTAGCTCTGTGAGCTTTCCATGTTGAGGAAAGTCAAAGTATCACAACAGCCTCTTCCCCTCCCCTCTACATAGCAGTCTGGCTGCTACTGTGTTCCTACTTCAGGGCAGAACAGGTATAGTCCAGTGTTTTGCTCTTTGTTCCCCAAAAAGACCAGCACACCAACTGTCAGATACTTCTCAAAGCTTTGAAAGGGGAGGGACACATGTCTACAGAGCAGCAGAGCTCAAAACACTAAACAGAGCTAGCAGAGTTGGCATTGTAGGATACTGGCAGAAGCCCGTTCTGTCAAAGGAATAAGGGCTTTTGTCAACAATAAAAGGAGGGGAAAAGAAAGAAGCCTTTCAAGGGGTGGGAGTTTTTGGTCACCAAAACTGATCGTTTTTCCTGACAAAAGTCTCACTGTTTTGTCGCCAAAAGGCAGTTTTGAGTGCAACAATTGGTAATATAGACAAGGCCTATGAAAAAAGGGAATTTCCCTCCATCATGAATCACCACAGTAAGACAAAGAGAAAAAAAGACAAGGGGGCACATTGGGAAACCTAACAAAGGCAGTACAGTAAACTTCTGATAATCTGGCACCTTTAGGACCCAGGGGGTGCCGGATTATCAACTATACCAGACCATCGGAAGGGGGGGCTATGAAGGGCCTGGGGTGGAGTGGGGGGGATGCGTCCCTCGGTGCTGCGGGACCAACCCAGCAGCACCCCAGCTGCTCTGCCCCAGGCATCCCCAAG